TTGTATAAAGCTAACATATTTCTGTTTACATCGAGGTTTGACATCGCCTTGATTTTAATAGAACATACTTGAAAACTGTGACATTTAAATACTGAGCATAGCTGACCGGAACCTTCACAGTATTTATATGAGCAGGATGATTGATGAGGAAATGTAATAATGGTGATGCTTGTCACTTGATGATGATATTCTTAGAAGGTTGCTCCTCCTTGCATCATGCTGGTGGACGTCAAAGCCTCGTATTGACCTTCCGCTCCAATGATATCTTCAGACTGGCCCACTATCCCGCTGCATCTATGTATGGATGCAGGCAGCACTGCTGTGTAAATATGAGCTGATGAAGAATGTGCTGTCAAAGGACGCTGGTGCACGTCGCTTTGCTGGCACAAGATGCCTTAAATTTTATCCGCTGAGTCATTCATCTGTGTTTTACTTATTTTGTGTTTCTCACGCTGATTGTTTTAGGTAAATTCTGCACCAAGAACACACATGTCGTTAACGAGGGTTAGCTGCTGGTCTCACGAAGATCCTAAATCAGGAAAGCGTTTATAATTTAGTATTCCTCGCCTTCCTGTGCCAGCAATCGCAATCAATCACGCTGGAGCTAATTTACTAAATAGCTGCTAACAGGGACATTTAGATATAAATGCAGCCTATAAAACTTTTCACCCCAGCAGAAATTATGATGATTGTCAGTTTGAAAAGCTAATGGAAATGTGAGCCGAGCCATGCAGATACAGTGTGTATTAGATTTGACAGGCTGTCCAGTATAGTGTGAGTGTCGTAAAAAATTGTCATAAATGTGTCCATCAGTCAAATCTAAAATCATGTCCGGCAAGTTATTTTGAATTTTATGTTTGCAGCTATTTTCATCGCAGGTCTTTCATTTTGTATTTGGAGCAGAGTTAAACCATTTTCATCTCTTTATAAAACAGCACGTCGCCCTGGAAGGTCTTGCGTCCTGATTATTTCTTGATTTGTCGAGACCCATGCCAGCTCCGACCTCAATGTCTGGCAGCATGCACAAAAGAAGTCAGAGGAGGGAGATTCCCAAGTTTTACACTGTTGTGAACAATGCGGAGGCAGGCGGGGAGGCACGCCATGGTGGCAGATCTGGCCCACCCAGACTGTGGCCTGCTGTCCCTCTCAGTTGTTCATCCCCTGAGCGAACAAAGCCGACACAGGGAGGAAGGGGAACAGCGAGGGGGAGGAGGTTTGTGGAGTACAGCTGTCACTCTGCTCCACATAATCTGGGAGTCTGGCGGGAAGGAAGGTTTTGCGAGACGGGAGGGACAAAGACTGAGGGAGATCTTTGCTTTGATGTTCGTAGCCAGAAAACAGCTCTGCTTGCCGTTCCTCCTCCTGAGGTTCTGCTACTCTGTGATTTTGTGTGAGTAAACAGTGATTGATAGATTGTGCGTATTGTATGCGTTGGGAATCGCTTGGGGAAAAAAAGAGAGATTTGAAACAAACATCTTAAACACGATGAGAGCAGTTATTCCAGACAAAGGTAACTGTCTGAAATGTCTTTACAGGGAAGGAAAAGCACCTGTTGAGCACACGCAGTAACAATCCCACTGAGTGGACAAGCCAAGGACAATGGCAGATGTCATTCACTCACCAGTGCCCCCAGTCCTGGTGTTGGTTTTCATTCAGTTCTAAGGGTTATTTGCTCTTAGAGACAAAAGGAGATGTAATGTGAGCTTGTAGGTTCATTATTGGCAGTGGAAACAGCAGTTTAAGTAACAATTCTTTGGACAAGATGCAGCTAAAGACTCCAATAAATTCTTTGAACAAGTTGCCATATCCACATTATGTCATGCGTTCATATCAGATTATCAGGTAGCATTGTGACAAATAGTGAAAGGTAACACATTTAAGCAGCCCTTTTTTCCAATTGGTCCAATCAGAATTTCCCATCAGGACTAAACACTTCAAGATGCATAAGACTCAGAATCTCAAAAACTGTAACAACGGCTGAAAAATTTCCCCCATCTGTGTTTTTGGATACAATAAAAGTGCTGTGTTTTTGCCCTTTAGGTGTTCTCCACAATATCGTGCAGCAGCCTGTGAAATACCAGCGGTATAGCCGTGCTCTGATTCATAAAAACTCCATTGTTTCACTCCTCGTAGTAACGCAGAAACCTAAAGCTGCCTGATTGCTCGATGCCAAAACAGAAGCAGCTTTTTGTCTTGGCCGTGTTCATTTGATAATCCTTGATGATAGCCTCTGACTAAGCTTCTCCTCATATCAGCTCCAAATAGGGCCGGCTGCCAGGACACACTTTCTCCAGCACAGAAACAATCTGATAGTTGAAGTTTGTCAAAGACTTTCTCTTTTTTTTTTTGTAACTGTACATCAGGCTGGAATGAAGGTATTTTCTAGTGGAGACAAGGAGTGGATTCCTTCTTAAGCGCAGATCAAACTCAAGTCTTGTCAGTCAGAAATAAGTTTGTTTAGCAGTTTAGACTCTGCACAGAATACAACAAAGGCATGTGTTTTCTAAAATCATTTTGTGCATGGTCTCTATCAACACTTAAAGAATTTGGGGCAAGCAAAAACAGACTTGATACGTGTTTCCTGTATTTTTAGCCATGACTGCAGGAAACTTGAGCACAGCTGAGGGCGGCTTTGCCCACCGAGCTCTGCCACTCTGTCGCCTGGCTTCACAAAGGAATGACTTGCCTTCATGTGTTCATCTGTGAGGATGGAGAGCAGGCAGAATAAGAGAAACTTAACTCCTATAGTATGGTGTGTGAGTAGAAATGAAAAAGGGTCTTCATGTTTATTTTCACATTTTCCAGGCGATTAATTCCAGTAGCGATATAATCCAGTATTACCAATTTTATTCTAGAAAACCCTCTTCTTGTTATCAGTCCCATCTGAATGTGCCTCGGCCTTTCGGTGAACGTGGCTTGTCCCTGTTGTGACTCGGCCTGGTTTGGCTTCAGTGTTGACATGTGGGTTCGAGGAAGTGGCCCCCTTCCCATCCTGAATACCCACACTCAGCCCCCCAGTGTTTTCATTCTCCTCAGTCACAGAGCATAAAGGCTGCAGCCTCTTTCTACCTCACTGAGGCAAAACTGAGCTCAATGCTGGTTTATTGTGAGGACAAGCAGAGGCTCCTTTCCATTGTTCTCTGTGCACTGTTTGCTTTTATTAGTCTCCTATGACAGGTATAATGTCTACTTCACTTTCGTGTTTTGCCATTTTTTAAACTAAAAAAGATCTGTTTCTACAAAACCTCACTAAACAGCTGAATGTTTCTTCTGACTCAATAAAGTTCCCTCACTCCTCCAAGCTTCTTTAAGGCAGGTCAGCGGGGCTGCTGTCCGTGTGACCAGCAGTGCAAAACTAAAGAGAGACGGCCCTCACTAACCTCCCTGATCCAAAGAATCCACTGAGACTGACCCATTTCACATCACAAGTCACAGGTCACCAGGCTCATCTCACTGAAGGATAAGACGTTAGGCCGGTTCGCCGCTGTTGTTAAAAAAAAAAAAAAAACATTCAGATTATGCAGCAGAACCTATTATCTTAAATATCTCTTAAGCAGTAAGTATCAAGTCACCGACCAAAACCAAGCTGACAGTTCGAGGGATTACACAAGTCATGAGATAGTGTGGATTAAGAATTGGGTCTATAGTTGTGGAGCAGTGCGTGTTCACTCTGAGCTTTGGAGACTTCTTGTCGAGTGTTTCGTTCGGGTGTGATTTTCATTAGTTTTACAAGCGTGACTTCTATCGCAGAAAACACAAAAATATTCAACTCAAGATGATGAAGTGTGCAAGACCAAATTAAATGATTCAAAACTGATCCAGTTAGTGCGCTGAATAAGCTGAGCAACATCAGAGATGGAAGAATTCAGATCCTTTGCTTAAGCAAAGTAACTTTATGTGAAAATAGTCTGTTACAAGTAAAAGTCTTGAAATCCTACTTTAGTAAAAGGACGTATAAATTAACAGCAAAATATACCTGAAGTAATAAAGTAAAAGTCTTGGTTCAGGCCCTCCCACTGATATATTATTATAGATGACACCCTTAGATTATTAATAGTGAAGCGTCAGTGTGTCAGCAGCATGTTACCGCTGTAGCTGCTGAGCTACTTTATGTACAGTTTTATAAACAGGGTCAGCAGATAAATCTGCCAGGATCTTGTGAGATGATTAATGTAAGAGGAAAGAAGAAAAAGAACAAATCTGTTTTCAGTTGTTGGACTTTTTCACCAATCTTTGATTTTTGCTGCGATATCGGATTATTGGAACATTTATTAAAATGAAAGCATATGTGGCGTTTAAAGGAGAAAGTCATTTTTTGGTGGTGATGTTAAGAACTCATAGACATCTGAAATGTGAACCCGACTACATACTGCTTTTTATTATCCATTATGTTAAAATTTCATGATAAACTTAATTAAAGCTGTCAGATAAATGTGGTAGAAAGTAGTATACAATGGAAACACTCAAGTATTGTATTTAGTGACTTTCCACCACTTGCTAAGATAAAGATATTAGTTTTATTAGTTCAGGAACGCAAGCAATTGTCCTCATTTGGCAAAACCGGAGGAATGTGACACTTTGAGGTCACCAGTGCAGCAAACAAAGACGCTCTGCCCTGTAAATAGCCTGCTCTCACTCTGAGTTCATCTTTTTGTGGGTTTACAAAGCAGGGACATGAGCACCAAGATAGACAATATACAGTAAATATATGCTAATACTTGCCCCTTGAAGGTTCAGAACAAGACAACGCATCAAGTAGTCGATATCTGAAGTACTATAAAGTAGGGCAACTCTTCTTGAGGCTTGGTGAAGTTAGGTTTAGGGAAGCCCTGGTATTAAGTGATCATGTTACCCTTCCAAAATTAAAATGACCCTTTGATTCCTTTTATTCCAGAGTAGGTCACAGTTGGGTTTTTTTTTCATGCAACAAAATAGAATATTGTTCACTAGAAACTTTGAAATGCTGGTGTGTCAAAGCTTCTTTTTTTTCTTCTCTGTAGGTGGAAATAAACTGAAACCTCAGCCATTCCGGCTCAACTGGGCCTGGGTCTCTCTGGAGAGGGAATACTACTTGGTGGATGAGGATGCCAAATTCCTGGAGGTGACACTGAAACGCAGAGGCTACCTGGGAGAAACCTCCTTTGTCAGTAAGTGCTGAGAGTCATTTGTTCAACTTCCTAGAATCGAGCCAGTTAACCTTGTAGACGTAGATGACAGATTTTGGCGTAATTCAGATATCTTTCTGTTTTCTACTTGCCCTCTATGACATTTTGCCTACCTGCCACTCAAACTAATATGAAGATGATGACACCACACAGGCCCTCATTAAACTGACATTTTAACAATGAATTATTGCCCCCTTTAACTGTCCCTCGTGACTTTATTATGTTATTTATGTGTCATTCGAAAGGCCAAACCTGCAATAAAACATGACCGTACTCCTTTACCTAAAATCTGCCCAGATTCCTTTAAAGGTTGCAGGATGTTCTCAGCTTAACCCTACAGTCAACCTAAAGAAAACTTAGGAGTCAACATCACACTAACAACCATGTCATGTCCCTAAAGGCGCAAACCTTTTGTTTTCTTGTTTGACTGCTGCTCCATTTCCTCTCTTGTCTGTGAAAGTGGTTCAATTGGAAGCACGTAGAACCTCTACTGGCAAAGGTCACCGTGAAATGTCAGATACGCTGGTCTGTTTGGCTGCATCTCATATTTGCATGACGAAGATTTATAACAACATATGTTACCATCTACAGGTCTGTCTTTAAAGATGCAGGAGGCTGGAGGATGGAACAAGCATGACTATAAATAATGTTACAGATGCTTTAACCTTGTGAAACTCTGGTGGAAATACAACGCATTTATGTTACTTCTTCTGTGGTGTCAGACAATAGACAGAATCAGCTACCTGTTGTCAGCTCACTTTACCTCGTTGTAAATTCTGATTTGCATTGTTTTAACACTGAGATTCGAATTCTGTATAAAGCAACACTGGGATTAAATATTACTGTCAGGAGTCTAAGTGCCACCACAGACCTCCGTTTGCTTAAAGCTCAAAACATGTGCGTCACCCTTTCTCAGGTATCGCAACTAAGGATGGCACAGCTGAGAAGGACAAAGACTTCCGTGGTAAATCCCAGAAGCAGGTCCAGTTCAACCCAGGCCAGACTACAGCCACCTGGAAGGTGAAGATCTTCACAGACCAGGAGTTTGAGACCTCAGAGACCTTTGAGATACAGCTGTCAGACCCAGTCATGGCGGTGCTGGAGTTTCCCGACACTGCAACAGTGGAGATAGTGGACCCTGGAGATGGTAAGGATCCGGTGTCTTGAGTCATTTAAACAATATTAAAGTGGACTTGATTATCCAAAGACTTAAATATATGTGTTTCTGAAAAAAGTGCATATAACAATCACCTTTTTTTTTTTGCTTTTCTTCCCAAAACAGAATCGACTGTCTTCATTCCTCAAGCAGAATTTAAGATAGAGGAGGACATCGGAGAGCTGTTAGTGCCGGTCCGACGTTCAGGAGACGCCAGCCAGGAACTCATGGTGGTTTGTTACACTCAGCAAGGTGAGATGAACCTGGTTTAATATTTATGACATAAAATACCTGAATTGCAAAGTGAGGAAAGAAAGTATGAAATATCAACATTTCCAACAAGACATGTAACTTGATGACTAGTGATTAAAATGAGGTAACACAAACACCAGCTATGTGAGAGTGCAGTAACGAAGTTTTTCTTTTTCTGTTGTCTGTTGATTTTCATGTACTAGCACGGCTTGGCAATTATACTTTATTCTCTATGTTATTATTTTCATTCAATACTTTTATCAATCTTATAAATGTAACTGTTTCTGTGAGCATGCACCCTTTGCAGTTCTATTACTTCATTCTACTAGCATTACCACATTGATGTGGGAAGTTCCAATTTAAGAAAGAATTTAAGAAGTCTTTCATGTTCCCACAATTCCTCAGGCTCCGCTACTGGCACCATCCCCAGCACTGTCCTGTCCTACTCTGATTACATCACCCGACCCGAGGACCACACCAGCGTGCTGCGCTTTGATAAAGATGAGCGAGAGAAAATCTGCCGTATCATTATCATCGATGACTCCCTGTACGAGGAGGAGGAGAGCTTCAATGTCAGCCTCAGCATGGCCATGGGCGGCCAGCTGGGCGCCAAATTCCCGTCGGCCAAAGTCACCATTTTGGCAGACAGCGATGACGGTGAGTGGCGGAGTTGTTTACCTGTAAACATTAATCATCAATACTGTAGCTGGGTGGAATCAGTTTAGCAGATAGATGGATGGACAGATAGAGGCATGAACATCTTCCTTTATCACCTGCAAAGAAATGGGCAGAAACAGTGACCTCATAAAATGAATGCAGACAAATGATGTTAGTTTCAGATGTATTCAGATGTTTTTCATGTTTGTTTAACTACCAACCATCAACAAACCAACACATCATTTCTTATCAGACATTTAAATATCAAGTAAAGAAGAAGTGCGCTTGTCTTATTATGTACAAGCTGTAGGGATGCCAAACAAACCAGGCAAGTGAGGAAATAAAGCTGTGGTTTATATTTGCAAAATATTTGACCTTCTGGTTTCTGTAACACTGAACATTATTGTTGGTGTCTAGATCTGACTTAAATGATCCACAGTCCACTATGACAAGTGGAAGCTTCTTGCTTTCTGCAAAGGTTAGAAACATTTTGAAGTTTCTTATGCAAACATTCATCTATCCATATCCTTCTGTTTTTCCGGGGTTGGATTGCAGAGGTAGCCCTTACAAACTGAGGCATAATATGACAAATAAATCTGAATAACTTGTAAAAATGTGAAGCAAAAAGTATAAGATTAAGCAGCACCAGCTGCTTTCGCTTATGCAAACATGAACGAAACAAAAGCACACGGAGAGTAATACACACATGAATAAAGTGTGATTTTAGCCTCTCTGTCTGCTGTTCAATGTGTGCTTTTTTAAGATTTACCCATCAGCAGATTTAAAAACAAAACAAAAACAAGCAAAAAAACTTCCCTTGAACCTTTCTCCTTCTTCAATCTTTGACTTAGGTCACCACATACGTCTGAACATATGAGTTAAAGCAGCGTGGCATCATGTGCTGTAGTTACAGAGCTGCAGGAGGCGGCAGGTGTGGGTGATCCTGTTGCCTTTGATGCTCTCCGTTTCCATTTTGGTATCTGCACGCCACTAATCCACTAAAGTTGCGCAGACGGCACCATCACCGCAGTCACCAAAGCAAAGGCCTCGGAGGCTGAGCTGCTTGCCTTGGTGGCTTTACAGTATTTTCAGGTCCATTACCTCTCCCATACCTGAGTCTAACAGCTCTGTTTACACACTCCGCTTCATTTATCCACCACACTCAGTCTGTCTGAGCGCTAGATACAAGATAACAATAGACAGGTGTTGAGCGGGAGACTGGAGGCCTCGCTGGATGTTATGCTACACTGTAGCCCGACAGATAAAAAGCCTTTACCTCGCTGTGCTCCTCAAGCGACCCCCGTTCTCATTGGCATTCAGGGGAGCTCAGGGGGAAACAGGGGGCATCCTTTTGTCTGCAGGGACCAAAAGGCAGGTGGTGGAGAGAGAGGGGGACTATTGTGCAGGGAATCCAAATGAGTGGCATGTTTTTCCTCTGTCTCTCTGCTTAATGGTATTCAAGACTATGTTGTCTGTTTTTGTTAAAGATATTGCTGCATTCTAGCTTGAGGAGGAATCAATCACAAATCTGGCACTCATTTAATGTGATCCATCAAAGAAAATGTCCTAATAAATTAGACAAATTGTTGCCTTCAAATTCCTAAATTCCTTGAGGCCTCTCTTGTCTTTCTTCTGCGACCAATAATGCCAAACTTGTCGTGCTTTCCTCACTTTTTCCTTCAGTCCCTCCCACCTCCCACCAGAGCTAATTTTCTGCACTTGCTTGTCGTACAATGAACATTATGTAAAATAATCAGCGTGCATTCCCAGACATGTGAAGAGACAAGGGAGGACTCGGCAGTGTGGAGCTCTATTGTGGTTCTACTTCTTGGTGGGTCCTGTAGTAACACCACACCATAAATCTGGTTCAGTGTCTCTATGTGTGTGTGTGTGTAAAACCATCTGCCTGCCTGAGTAAACTTGTGGTTTGGATTCTTGCCAACATCGAGCCCCTATTGTTACTGTATTTGTCTGGTTCTTCCTCCCACTGATCTTAAGGTTGCCATGTTGGCACTCATTTCCCCTTCTCGCGCCCCCCTTGGTCCTGAATAGAGGCTGAAAGGCACTGAAAGCGTGCCAGAAATCCTTCCCTCTGCATCGGCCGTCGGACACAGCAAGCATCAACAAATCTGACATTTCTGCTCAAACACCAATAATCAAGAGCAACTAAATTGAGAAAACCATTATGTTTTGGCGTATGGTCTTTGTTACATGAAACAAAACTTTCAAAAATACACAGTAAATCATGTTTTATTTGCAGCCACACAACCATGAACCTCGTGTATTTGTTGCCATGAACAAGCTATGGGTATGTGTGTTTATGTTTGAATACCCTGTTGATTTCTGTGTCAACTGTTTAGCACATGTGACACTAAAATTTGTAATTTTGTGTTTCATGTTTTTCAAGTGTTGCATGATGAACTCAATGAAGGCCAGGGGCTGGACTGCATCTCTCTTAAAGCAAGCCAGAGTCATTTTAGATCAACAACAGCCATTGTTGCCCTTAGAGACACTTAAAGAATGATGCTAAAGAAAGTCCTGTATTCAGCAAAGTGACTCAGTTGTTTAAATGTGTTGAGATTAACTAACATTAGCCACCATGGTGCTGGTAGTCAGACGAGAACAAGTGTGTTTTATTGCTCATTTAATGAAATATCTCAGTTAGATTAGGAAAGTTGCATTGTTTCAATTCATTAGTTAAGTTATTCTCACTTCTACAAGAGATGCTCTAGTTTCTTCAGTACAGCGTTCCTGGTTTTAGGTGAAACTGTGTCTAAACTGATGTCACTTTTCAATAAGGTTTGATGAATGCTTAATTTAACAGAGTGACCAAATGGCTAAGTGGTAAGAGTTCATACTAGATGGGTGCAAATGCCTTCATGCAAGTCACCATTTCAATTCCTGACCAGTCGGGACCCTGACTACATTTCCCTGTTCTGCTCTCTTTTCCCACGATTCTCATCTCTGTCCACTGTCACTATAAAAAAGGTGGAAATGCCCCCAAAAACAAGTAAATAATTCAGTAATTGTTAATAAATCAGTTTGAATCCATCATTATGAACAACTTATGATTTTTCACAACCCAAACCTCGTTCTTTTTGCTGCTTAGAACTCATCTACAAAGCACATTTACAAATTTACAAATTTCTCCCTCCCTACCTTCTCTCTCATTTTCGCTTCAGTATTTTGCGACAAGCTGAAGGTCTGAACCTGCGCGTCTATCAGTCGATCTCTAAGAGCATTGGCTGGACACAGTGTGATGAAAACACGCTTTATACAGAAGTGAAGAGAGATGAATTGACAATGTGTTCCAGGGCTCTGAATTCTTGCCCTCGGCCTTTGCAAAGTGGACGGTTGCCTCTGTGTCTCTGCCACCCCGCCCCCCCCTCCTCGCAGAGCTCCTTATCAGCTCCTCTATCATCAGAAAGCAGGAACATCATTCTGTGTGCACACACATACAGACGTGCACCTTATTCTTCAGGCGTATCCTCAACCTTTTGGCATTGGGTTCAGACAGAGCTGTCTGGATTTAGATAAGTGGGGGAGGAAGGTTGCGGGAGGACAGGCTAAGACGGATGACAGCTCTCTTCCTGTGCTGAGTCAAAAATGAGGGCATTTGCTGAGCTATTGATGCCAATCTGTCCCTGAACCCAAGTGCAAAGCTGCAAAACATGCAGTCTCAGTATACTAAACCACAAACATCACACTGTTAATTAAAAGCTTATCTTGCTCTGTACTTTTAAAAGACACCCTTGTTTCTAGAAACAGCATAGCTAAAACAAAAATCAACCAATGTCCACGTAAAACAACATGACACTGACTTATGTTAATTCGCAAACTACTTTGGTATAATTTTTCTATAATAAGACAAGACAATATAGGAATTGTTTACACATTTACTTTCCTATTGTTCCCAAATCTCACAGAGCCTTCACTGTACTTTGGGGAGCCTGAGTATGTGGTGGACGAGAGTTCAGGCTATGTCGAGGTGAAGGTCTGGAGGACAGGAACGGACCTGTCCAAGACCGCCACCGTCACCGTCCGCTCCAGGAAGAGCGAGCCCGTTTCTGCAGAAGGTAAAATCAGCAGTTTGACTGAATCAGTGGAATTCTGTCATTATGTTAAAATACGATGTGGCTCAGTGTGTTCTGCTTCATTTTCCAGCTGGACTAGACTATGTTGGTATTAGTCGCAACCTGGACTTTGCCCCCGGGGTGACGATGCAGACATTTAGAGTGACTATCCTGGATGACCTGGGTCAGCCGGAGCTGGAGGGGCCTGAGACCTTTGACCTGGTGTTGCGGATGCCAATGAATGCTGTGCTAGGAGAACCGAGCAAGACCACCATCACAATCAATGATACTGTCACTGACCGTAAGTGTCAAGTGTAGAAACTAAACATATATGTGTAGAATATATCCAAGCCTACAGTATTGTTTTTACTATATTCTTCTGTATATGTGTACGAATTCTATATAATAGTAGGAATGATAGTGGTAGTGGTATTATTATTAGTTATAATAATATATTAAGAAATGTTTCCTATAGTTACTATAGTGTTAATATGTAGCTATAAGGACAAAGACATGTACAGGAAATGTTTTTTAAACATTTAAAACTACAAACTCGATTATTTCCTATTTTTATTCTTTTGTATATGAGATGATGCAAGTCCATATGAAAGTTGACAATTCATATAAAAATGTCTTTATTATTATTATTATCATTACTATTACTGCTACTACTACTAAAAACTAATAATAATAATAGTAATAATAATATTAAATTAATGAATTATAGTCCATTATTATATAGCTGTAAGAACATCTTAAAGTATATATTTACAAAATTGAATTTATTAAATAATTGTGTAACGCTACAAATATTGTATTTAGCCTGGTTTATGTCTTAATTTTTACAACTTTCATATATACTTCTACATGTTGGCATATAACAATTTATAAATGTATGTATGTTGAAATTACACATTTAACTGTTTGTACACAAAATCACACAGTGAATGATTGTAAATGCCAAACTATTAGACTGCTTTCTTTAAAGTGGTTCCTTTTGTTGACAAAAGCATTACTAAATACTTTGAGATCTCCTCATATCTGCTTTTAATAGCATCATTGGTCAGTGCTGCAGGTAATTTTATATATACTTTTCTATATAAATGCTGAAGTGTGGAGAGTGATTGAAATAAAGTGACCAGAAAAGCTTAACATATAAGCATACATGCAAACTGCAGTCACCGTCTTCACTCAGACATGTGAAGACTTCTTTGTGACAGTTTGATTGTTGCCTTTTCAGTGCCGAAGGTTCAGTTTAAGGAAGGAAGCTACAAAGTGGACGAGTCGGACGGAGAGGTCAAAGCCACAGTGTACCGTAGTGGAGACATCAGCCTCAGATCCACGGTGCGCTGTTACACTCGCCAAGGCTCTGCTCAGGTCATGATGGACTACAGCGAGAGGCCAAATACTGACGCGTCAGTCATCACTTTTATGCCAGGTGAGACATCCCTTAACTCCCTCTTGCCCCCTTATTTGTTCCTTTATAATCCCTTCCTGTTTGTTATGTTCTCTACACCCTACATTTACTCCGCAGGTGAGACTGAGAAGCCGTGTGTGGTGAGCCTGATGGACGACTCCGTCCATGAGGAGGACGAGGAATTCCGCTTGGTGCTGGGAACTCCCAAGAGCAAGTCTCAGTATGGAGCCTCTATCGGGGAGCAGAAGGAAGCACTGGTCACTGTCACAGACGAGAAAGACAGTGAGTGAACTGAAAATAGCTAATTTAAATGAGCCTATATAAAGTAAAATTCACAAGACCAAAATATATCTCAAGTAAGAACAGCAGTTGCATGTAAATAGGAGAAGAAAAAATTTGGTGGAAAAAAGAAGTACTGCTGGTGTGCACTTGAGAAAAGCACATCCATAACTGCTTAAGCTGACCCAGTAAATGAGTGTATATTTTAAGCTAAAAACAACGCAAATAAGTACAACTGAATGACTTGAATTATTATGCTGCATCTCACAACAAAGACATCTGCATGCAACAAACTGAACAGTAAAATCAGTGCCCCATTACTTTATCTTGCTTTTTTTCTGTTATCAGATACCACCTCTACTGTTAGAATCTGCATTCAGATGAATTATGTTTGAAAGTAAAAAGATGCTGATTTACATGTTTATGGTTAGTAAGTCATTAACTGGATTTGAAGAGGTTCTCTTTCCTTTCTGTTCCAGAGCCCATCATCCGTTTCTCTGAGATCAAGTACAGCGTGCGTGAGCCACAAGTGAAAGGTGATGTGGCAATAGTGAAGATTCCTATTTTGCGTTTTGGAGATACTTCAAAGGTCTCAGTGGTGAGAGTGCACACTAAGGACGGCTCTGCAACCTCTGGAGATGACTACAACCCGCTGTCAGAGGGTGAGAAGCTCAATAAAATCACCTGAATAATGCTTCCAAACTTATGTGTGTGTTCGACCACCGCTTACTTTGCTGCCTGTGCCTCAGACGTGGAGTTCAAGGAAGGTGAGAAGGAACACTTTGTGGAGATTGAGATCCTTTATGACGGTGAAAGAGAGATGAGAGAGGCCTTCATTGTACACATGAAGCCTGATGACAACATGGTGGCTGAAATACAGGTGAGGCAACAGCCACATGGCACTCACAAGTGTTCACACATAAACAAATATAAATCAGAAGCAAGTCCTATATGTGAACTGTACAGTACTGCAGATCTACACACGCTGACGTGCACCCTGCCGTGTCAGCCTGTGTTAAAATAGGCAGACAGCAGCTGGCAATGCTGTCAGCACGCCTGAACCACAGTCTTATAAAAAGCTTTTCCCTCTGGAATGAGATGCTGATGGGAATGTCCCTGCAGAGCCAAACAGAAGACAAACCTATAAACAGAACTGTGACATTCTACCCATACACTCTCCATTAGGCATGCACTGCTCACGTGATAGAAATAGGTCAACACCTGCAAAATTGTTTTGTGCATCATTGTAATTCAACTATAAACCCATAAGAGGCCTCTGCCAAGTGCTCAGCATTAGTTCTTCTAATAGGAGAAATCTGCTTCTTATTCCAAATATATCAAAAGTTACTTTATGACAGATAATCATGTTTGGGAAAATACCTAAATCTAGTTGGGGAGGGCTTTGTACAAGAGGTAGTTCATGATTATTTTTCTGCAGCACTATATATATTTGTGAAAAAAGTCAATCTGGCTGCACAAATGCACCATGCATTGAAAAGCATTGGTATTTACTGTATATAGTGGCTGTCAATTTTTTAAAAATTAAATAAAATTCTACAAACAAGCAAACAGATTTTCTATGACTTCATTCAAATATGCCAAATACAATTTTTTTTGTCGACTGAAAACAGTGATTGTCTTAAATCAAGGCATTCAAGAGCAAAAATACTTCTTCACCTCAGCAGCATTGGTTTGGTAGTTAACGTGCATGTTAGTGTTTTGAAATATCTACACAGCCGTAGTATCTGCATCAAAATCTAATAACGTCACTGACGGAAGTAATCGATGGATTTACATTATGAAATATGTTCATTTAAAGGGGTGGACAGTTTTTAAAGTTGACAACCGGTTCACGATGTCATCCCTCTTCTTGCTAGATGAACAAGGCCATTGTGTACATTGAGGAGATGGACAGTGTAGCGGACGTTACTTTCCCGGCAGTGCCTCAGGTGGTTTCTCTGCTCATGTATGATGACACAGCTAAAACCAAAGACAAGCCCCATCCACCCAACGGGTACCCTGTTGTGTGCGTGACGGTGAGTGAGATGCTGTTTTTTCCACACCATTCAAAGTTTCAGTAATATGATTAAGCAATTTTAAAGTTTATTGCATTCTACAACCTTTTTTTTTTTTTGCCTTTCCTTCCAGGCCTGCAACCCTAAGTACCATGACTTTGATAAAACGGGTTCCATCTGCTCCGCGGAAAACATCAACGACACTCTCACCCAGTACCGCTGGCTCATCAGCGCTCCCACTGGATCAGATGGAGTAACCAGCCCCATGAGGGAGGTGGACACTAACACCTTCTTTACCAACACCAAGTCCATCACCTTGGATTCAATCTACTTCCAAGCAGGCTCTAGAGTTCAGTGTGCAGCGAGAGCCTTCAACACCAATGGAGATGCTGGTCTGGAGCTGTCCAGTCCCATTACTGTGATCAGCAAAGAGGAGGGTGAGTGAAAGGCAGAGGAGTCTTTGGGAAACTTGCAGGTATTTGTTGGGTATGGAGTTAACTGGTTTAACTGGCTGTAACTCTTTGCAGGTATGTGTCAGCCTCGTATCCCAGGTACTGTTGGAGCTGAACCTTTCTCTGCTAAGATCCGTTACACTGGCCCTGACGATCCTGACTTCCCCAACCTCATCAAGCTAACTGTCAATATGCCTCACATGGACGGTGAGAACTGGTTGAAACTTTTGGTATATTGTTTATTTATCTTAACTGAGGTTCATGAAATTCTTACCCTGTGTGACATGAACATGCTTTTCCCCGTCAACAGGAATGTTGCCAGTAATCTCAACAAGGCCTCTGTCCAACTTCGAGCTCACCCTGAGCCCAGACGGCACACGTGTTGGCAACCACCGCTGCTCCAACTTGCTGGACTTCAATGAGATCCAAACCGGACATGGCTTCATCACAGACGCAACAAAGAACCCTGAAATCATTGGGGAGACTTCACCCTACCAATACAACACTATCATGCGTTCAGCCAACTCTCTGCGCTTCTACAGGAACCTTAACTTGGAGGCCTGTCTCTGGGAGTTCACCAGCTACTATGACATGTCCGAGCTGCTCAATGACTGTGGAGGCTCCATAGGCACCGATGGACAGGTAGGAAATATGTGGCTGCCATAACTGCAGAGGAGAAAGCACATTGTTTCCAATATCACCCTTTGTTATCACACTCACCACTCCCTCTGTAACTGTCGCTCAGCTATGAGCAGTACATTGACATTTCCACAGTCGTAATCATTTTGCGTCTTCATGTCAAATACTGAGTACTGCATTGGACAAAAACAGGTGAATATGATATTGACTTAATAAAGCCACTGGTCAAAGAAATACACACCCAGAATTTTGGCACTTAAATAAAATGGCAGACAGGAAATAGGGAATGATTTCAGACACAGCCAAACACAGATGTAATATTTTGGTAATATTTTACTCATTCGAGGAGAATCAGTCTGACTTGGTTGAAGTCTGACATGAAAACATACAGCACTGACCAACTGCAAACTATCCTGACAGCTAAGAGTCCAAAATGGAGGAAGCTAATGTAGCTTATTAGCTGTGGTGGCAAACTCTTGAGGTTAACCTTTGGAAAAGTTGCTGCAAATTTACAACATGGACATATTTTGATGTGCAAAATAGATTAGTGGGTGGGAAGCCTGGATTCTATCCCAGCTGACACCGGGTGAGAGGCGGGGTACATCCTGGATAGGTCACAGTCCATCACAGGGCCAACACAGACAGCTATTAGTGCTCACGTTGACACCCATGGAAAAGAAAACCTAAAACCATTTATTCTAACATGCATGTTTTTGAACTGTGGAGGAAACCAGCGCAGACATGAGCTTTCCACAAAGTTAGCCAGAAGTCAACTGCATGTTTGCCAAAATTCATATTTGCATATGAAAATATGATCTTCCTGCCAATTTAAAGCAATATTTCCAAAAGTTAACTACAACCGTCTGCAAGAAAATTTAAAAATGATGCCATTATTAACCAGAAGTTACTAGACGTTTAGCACTACTGGCAGGCTGTGTTGGCAGACCACTGATGGACATTTATGCCAGTGCTGGCAAACTTGTCATTACTGCCAGAATGTTGCAAGAAGTTTGCCACAAGTGACCAACATATTCAAACTAATGTCTTTGCTGTAAATCACCCACCTATTTGCCTCAAATTTGCCAGAATTTTTGCCTTTGTAAGGGGGACCAACCACTTTTATGTCAGCTCCTCTGTTAGATTTCATCCTTTTTCCATCCATTTTCTATACACCGCTTAATCCTCATTAGGGTCGCGGGGGGGCTGGAGCCTATCCCAGCCGACTTAGGGCGACGGCAGGAGACACCCTGGACAGGTCGCCAGTCCATCGCAGGGCCACACGTAGAGACAGACAACCAAGCACACTCACATTCGCACCTACGGACAATTTTAGATTAGTTTAGATCCAATTAACCTCAACATGTTTTTGGACTGTGTGGGAGGAAGCCGGAGAACCCGGAGAGAACCCACGCTGCACGGGGAGAACATGTAAACTCCACGCAGAAAGATTCCGGTGCCCCCACCGGGACGCGAACCGGCAACCTTCTTGCTGCGAGGCAACAGTGCTACCAACTGCGCCACGATTCAAACTCTTCCACAAAAAAAAAAAATGGTTACAACCAGTATGAGACAAAAATCACAATTCATCTTTTGAATTAACTGCTGTAAATTGTTGTCCCTTCACTGATTAAGCCAACCACCCAGCTAAGTGACAGTAATCAACAGTGGGCAGACTAGCTAGATCCAGCTATGATATAAATAAATGAATGAATGTACAGTCATTAGAACAAAATGCCAACTGGGAGTAACAGCCATGCCACAGCCTGGCTGACCTGTACCGGTTAACTAAGCAGCAGCAGCAGCAGTTTCTACCAATCATACAGCCAAATACTTTGAGGATGGATGAATTGTCCTAAATGTTCTTCATACATTATCCCTGACTCAGCCTTTTTTCCTGCTTATTTAGGTGCTGAACCTGGTCCAGTCCTACGTCACTCTGCGTGCTCCTCTGTTTGTGTCCTACGTCTTCCACTCTCCGGTAGCTGTGGGAGGCTGGCAGCACTTTGACCTCCAGTCGGAGCTCAAACTCACTTTTGTGTACGATACAGCTATTCTGTGGCAGGACGGCATTGGCAGTCCACCTGAAGCTGAGCTACAAGGTAGGTTCTCAGTTGATGCTGTTCCCTGCCCGTCTTTATGGAGGTATTAAAAACACTTGCTAATTTCTGTTGTTCCCTGTTCACATAGGAGCCATGTACCCCACCAGCATGCGTATAAATGAAGAGGGCCGTCTTGTGGTCAACTTCAAAACCGAGGCACGCTTCAGGGGCCAGTTTGTTATGTCTCATCCAGGTATGGGAGCGGCACCCACATGCACATATACACACCCTAAACCCATCTTGTGGGGTCATTCTATACACGCAGTCTCCTCTTGGATTACCCTGTGGCCCCCATCCTCACTTCATCTATTTCTGGAGTTCCACCTCAGGGGTCTTCCTGTGTAAAAGTGCCAGAGGTCATTTCAGCAAATGTCAAACTGACCCTGCAGCATTTACAGTTAGGCGCAAACAGTGTGAAAGGTCACCCTATAAATAAGAAGATAGACACAGTTGCTAGTTTAAGTTGGACAAAGCGCAGCAGTAGAGATTTATGACTATATCCATGTTTGTTTTAAGGAACCAGCGTGTCATCCATGGTGATGTGTGCTGACCACCCTGGGCTGACGTTCACGCTCGCCCTGGTCAGGACTGAGCCCACCTACAACCAGCCCATGCAGCAGTGGAGTTTCGTCTCAGATTTTGCTGTGAGTCTCTACTGTAGTGAAAACATCCTCAATGTGGTAAAGCAATAACAAGCCTAACGGTCACTCATTGTTCCTGTGTGTGTGTCTGACCTTTAGGTGCGAGACTACTCTGGGACGTACACAGTGAAGTTGGTCCCCTGCATGGCCTCACCCAATGGGGAGTTCAGCATCCCTCCTGTCTGCCACCCAAGAGAGCCACTTACTTTTGATGTGGATATTCGCTTCCAGCAGGTTAGTGGCAAAAATGCCCCAATATTTTTCAGTTCTGGGTTCATGTAATAGCAAGATTCAACGCCAGAACCTGAAGAGTTTTACATCAGTTGTACAGAGAATAATGCAAAAAGATAACCTTAATCATTTTCAGTACATTTTAACATTTGTGAAAAAGGAACATTCTTGAAACAAGCTGATTAGTTTTCATGACATGATACACTGCTGACACCCAAAACCATTATGTGTTCTGAATTTGATGACTCTTGTTCTCCAGGTGAGCGACCCAGTGGCAGCTGAGTTCAGTCTCAACACTCAGATGTTCCTGCTTTCCAAGAGAGAGTTATGGTTGTCTGATGGTTCCATGGGTTTTGGAGAAGGAACTGATGCCGCTTTTTCAGATGGTAGTGCAGCTCTGCCATCTAGTGGTGTACAGTAAGATTACAGCTAAAGGCTGTTGTCCTTTGTCAATCTCACATTTCATCTGTCCTTCACTTCAGGTTCCATGATCTACGGCCGTGTGATGGTGGACCCGGTCCAGAACCTGGGTGAATCCTTCTCGTGCAGCATTGAGAAAGTGTTTCTGTGCACTGGAGCAGATGGTTACGTTCCCAAATACAACCCCACAAACAAGGAGTACGGCTGCCTGGCAGATGCTCCCTCTCTGCTTTACAGATTCAAGATCCTGGTAAGATGCTCTAAATCCCAAAGAACAATACTCTGGAGTAGTGTGGGAGCCAAACAAGCTAGATGTTATTTTTGATTTTGTGTGTGTTGTTCTGCAGGACAAAGCCCAGCCAGAGACTCAAGCCTTCGCGTTTGGTGATGTTGCTTTTAAGGCCACATTGGCCCAAGACACAGCTGGAGCTCTGCCTTTGGTCAAACAACCAGGATCAGATGGCTTCACACTGTCTTCCTCACCACTTTTCCAGGTCGGTTCAGCTTTTAGATTCAGTATGTTAACATATTGCATAAATACACAAATATATTAAACTTCATGTGCTTGTTTTCAGGTGGCTGCTGGTCGAGAATGGTTCATCCACACCATCTACACTGTCCGCTCCAGAGAAAATGCCAACCGCAACATTGGCAAGCGCAGTCTGGAGTACCTCCATCACAGTATCTCCTCTGTGGACCAGCCTCAGATCTCCGACGTGGCCATCCGCCACCGCCGTGCTGCCCCTGCTTTCTCTGGTCCAGCTCTGGCCCAGGACATCGGCATCGAAAACAACCGGGGCACCAACATCCAGCGCATTGCCCTGGACCGAGCAGACCGCATGGTGGTCAACCAGCGCCAGCCCTGGTCCCCAAGCCGGGACCAGTTCCTGGAGCGCCCCCTGCTGGAGAGCTCGGGCAGGGAGCAAGCTGACACCTCCACTCTGCCCATGTTGGTGGGCATCGCAGGTCTGATCCTCCTCATCTGCCTCATAGCCACCATTGTCATTCTGCTGTTGCGGCGCAAGAAGCGGGAAAAGAAGACCCAGTACCCTCCTTACACCACTTCCTCTTCCTCTGCCTATAGTGGGTACAACCAAGGCCCAGCAGGTCTGTGGAGCGGCTTAGATAGCTCTGAGGTCTAAATATGGGCCCTGCTCCACTCAAACATCTGTCCCCTAATAAAAAAGACTGATAGTCTCCTCCACCACTGTGCCTTTGATGCCCAACTGTAGCACTGAATAGAGCCCAGAACAACCTGTGGACAGCGAAAGATGTCAGTGCTTGGGGCCTACATGCAGAGAATGTACCAGAGTTTTGAGGCTTACTGATCCCTCATGATGATGGTTAGTTTTCACTGTAATGTACTCTAGGTTTGTGCCTTTACTGCAGCCTGTTCAGAATCATGGTTATATGTAGAAGCCCCTTAAAATGATATTCACCTGTTTCATTAGTTGCCAAGTTGTAAAATATTACTCTTTATCCAGTGTTTGAAAATGCATGCAATGTAGTAAATGCAGTTGTTTCATGAGTAAATGGCAACCATTTTTAAATTTCATAAAAGAAAATAATTTTCTAAGTTCATCCTTTAAAATTACACTTTTTTTTTATTACTTTAATTCACCGTGTTCATTATTTTGTTTTATGGAGTAGAGCAAAATGGACTGAATGTTAGCTGAAACTGACCTTAATGAATGATGTGGTAAGTGATTTTTAGTATTGATATTTTCCTGTTGCGCTTAGAAAAGCCTGCAGTATACCTGCCCACTGCTGACAACAGTACCACTATGGTGTCATTGAAAGGGATTGTAAATGTTATTTTAAGTCTTTTAAAAGTGCAGAAATTCATTGTTTTGTTTTTTTTTTTTTTTTACATTTTTTTCAGATAAATGTGGCTGAAATCAGATGCAAAACTATCTGTGTACATATCAATGTAGAACTATGAGAAAAGGTATTACTACACCCTGGTGAAACTTGAAAAAACATGAACTACACATCTTTCTGGTTTGTTGATCAAGTCCTGAAATAACAAGTGCTGTATAAAAACTAGAATTTTTCTTCTACAGGTGACCGTATATTTCAATGTGCCAACTGTTATTTGACTTTTATGGCTTAATAATTTTTGAGACAATTTCAAAAGTTTGGATGTATGTACACTTAAATTGCCAAATATAAGTACCATTTTTTGAGTCAGTGTCTTATTTACCACAGCATACAATTTCTGTAAAAAAAAAAAAGGGGACGTTTATTTGTGACTCTCAAAAAGACATTTTCTACTTCACATAGGAAGATAAAAGAACAGACGTTTTCTTAAAAATAAAAAGGGTACATATTGTTTCAAGCAATGGAATGTGGTACAACCAACAGGCATAAATACATGTATTTCAATTAAGTACTAGTAAAAAAAAAGAAAAAAAAAAAAGAACTAGCAAACAAAAAACTAAACCAGCACAGCTGCAGTGTTTAGGTCAGTGACAACGAGGCAGGCTTGTCAAGGAGCACCTCCTAAAACCTAATACAACCACATCAGTCCATCAGGGATTTTACACAGTACGTTATCACAGCCTGCAAAACAAACACAGACACAAGGACTAATGATACCGGAGCTGGCTGCCGCTCTCGATTTCTGGTACTGTAGGTAGCAAACAGCTTCACAACTTGAGCTTTTTCCTGCGTCCTCGACCATCCGGGGTTCCCTCCGACTTTCGTTTCTGGGCCTAGAAAACAGGAGGAAGCTATTAGGAAAGACCTCACAAGCAGAACTCGTGGTTAGATTTCTGATCTTACTGATTCATCTTCAAGAGGAAAGTTTGTCATTTAAATAACAATTTCAACTATTTGTGACTTCTATTTATTTTTGCAACGGTTATTTTAATTTTGCTTGAGTTCAGACAATATTTAACATTTAAAATGGAAAAAAAAATAAAAATGTTTTTATTCCTTCCAGTAAGGTATCCAAAACATAATCCTTTTGGTATTGGCACAAATTTCAAACAACACCACAGTCTAGACAGATTGTTTTGAGTTTGAACAAGCCGGAGATGGATTTGTAACTTACAGAGCCAGACTTTGGGCCACGTTTCTTTTTCTCAGCCTTCTCTCTCTCCTCCAGCTCCATGTTCTCTCTCTCTATCAGTGTAATCAGAGTGTTGCATCGCCTCTGGAGCTCCTGCACAACAAGCATGAAACATTCTTATCATCAGGACACATTCTTTGTAGGAAAACATGGACGTAAACAAAAACAGGAGAACCGGTAGAGCAAAGAAGACAAAAGCTTACCATGGCAGTCCTGGATTTGAGGAACCAGTCGAAGCGGAACTGGGGTGAGTTGCGGATGCACTGGCGAAGCTCATCGTACACGCTCTCCTTGTCAAAGCCAAGCTTGTGAAGCATGCAGATAAGGAAGCGGTCCTCCTCCTCTGTGTAGTTCTTGCCTTTGTTGGTCCCGTAGGAGATACGGAGCTGATGGAAGGGAGCCTTGTAGCGACCGATCTGGACAAGGAGATGGGAAACACATTGAGGGGCCGTTAATTAATCAGGAGGAGCAGTTAAAGTGATGAATAGTAAGCATAAGGCTTAATGAGATAAAGCTAATTAACCAGAAGTGAGCCGCCAAATGGCTGACAGTCTGCTACCTTTGAGTCCAGTGCTTTCTTAATGCTGATCCTTCTCTGAATCCTGGCTTCTCCTCGCTCAATCTGGGCCATGATCTTTTCGATATCCTGCAACTCATTGCAGCGCTCCCAGAACACAGCTGGAAGAATAAGCACAAACATCAAGTCACAAAATCTGTTAAGTCAAATGTTAGAGGGTTTTTTTCTGCAAAATGGATAAAATTATGAATTACCAGAATACTCCATGACTTCCTCTGGAGTTTTTCCCTCAACCTCTCTGGCAATGTTTTCAATATCATCTCTTCCCCACTTCTCATTGGCTTTGATGAACTGGTTGAAGTCGCGTTTGTTCCAAATAGTAAATCCCTGCAATAATTGTACAGTTAGTCAGTCTAGATAAAACTTGGATGAAGACATAAAACATTCAATTTGTAAGATATGAGCCAGATTTGGTTTTAATAAGTGAGAATAATCTGTACTTGTTGCAGAAGGTTCTCCTTCTCCTCCAGCTCTTCTTCTGTCAGGGCCTCGGCCTCGTCAATCTTAGCCTGCTCCTCTTTTTGAACCTGAGCTGAGTTGGGCATGTCCGGATTACGGGGAACCTAAAGAAGGACAGTTACAGATTGACTTAGAGGAATCTCAAAGACTGAGAAAGTCCTACTAGGAAGAAAATTGGACTAATAGGAATCTCTCTCTTAAATCAAACAATTGCTCTGTGTACCTTGTATCCTATGGTCTTTCGATAGAACAGAATTTCTTTCTCTAGGAGTTCAAACAGACGTGGTGGGAAGAACTGGAAGTCCTGGACGTTTGGCTGTTTGGGAGGACGAGGAGCCTGGGGAAAAAAAACACACCATCCATCATATTGTAATTCCACATCCTGCTGCATGAATGCTTTATGTCCTGAGGGTGTTTGTGGAGGGATCCGGCCCTACCTTTGGTGCTTTGGGCTCACTGACTCGCAGAGCTTCTCTGAAGTAGGCATCCACAGCATAATTGGCTTTCCTTTCTCTCTTGGGTGGCTCGATCCAGTTGGTAATGACCTGAACAAAAAAGGAAGAGGAAAACAAGATAAAGATTCAAAGTTCTTGAAGCAAGGCGGTTCCAAAACAAATACTGATGTTGGCTGGTCTCTTTACCTTTTTCTTCTCTCTGTAGTCCTCTCCTTCGAATGTGTACACACTGCTGTTCTCTGTGTCCATGGTGAAGTTTCTCAGAGAGCTCTCACCCAGTGACGACAGTTTCTCCTTCATCTCCATAGTCTGGCACACAACATATGAAAAGGTTGATTTTCAGGCCAAAATTTCATATTCATTAAAAAAAAACATCAGAAACAGTTTATGTGAAATATCCCTGTTGACATATTTTCTCTAAAGCGTGCAGACTCACCTTCCTTTCACCTCGCTCCAGGATTGCATCGATGTCATCATCTGTGATCTCGCTCTCTTTGGAAGCAAACACGTGTGTGGCACCGTGACGGATGATGGACAGCATCTCATCCTTGCCCAGTTTGTTGGCACTTGGATCCACAAGTCGTCCTGATAAAAAAATAAAATAAAATATGTGAGGAAGATGACTTAGTGGCTTCCTCAAAACCTCTCATTATCATTTGTCTACTCTATGAACCGATTCTCATTTAGTCTTAAACATATTACGCCAACATTTAAATTAAACCTCAGCAGGTGGGAAGAATTACCTTGTTGGATGACAATGGAGTCCAGGCGCAGTTTCATCTCGGCCCTCTCCACAATCCTCTCCTCCACTGTGTTTTCAGTGATGAAACGAAAAACGCGTACCTGTTTCTGCTGCCCAATCCTGTGAGCTCGGTCCTGAAATAAAAAATCAAGTCAAGGGTTCTGCCTTTGAACAACTAGTGTTTCAGTGTCCACGTTGCATTTTTATTTTTAGGTAAATCCACTTAACAAGTTTATCCCGTCACCTCCTATCACCGAATAGAGAACAGATGGATCATCACTGTACTAACCATGGCCTGCAGGTCGACCTGAGGGTTCCAGTCAGAGTCGTACAAGATGACTACATCAGCTGTAGCCAGGTTAATACCCAGTCCACCAGCTCTGGTGCTCAACATGAAGATGAACTTTGAGCTGTTGGGCTCATTGTAGGCGTTGATGGAGATCTGTAAAGATACAGTTGAACAGTTTGTAACCAGCTCATCCTCTCATGAATCACATCTGCTTATACAAGCTGACATACAAGCAGCTCACCTGTCTCTCCTCGTGTGGTGTCTGTCCATCCAGGCGACAATAACCGTAGTTCCTCCACATGCAGTAGTCCTCCAAGATGTCCAGCACCCTGGTCATCTGACTGAAGATGAGCACACGGGAACCTAGAAAAAGGGACAGTAGTTATTGATTAACTGTACTAATAACAAAAGCTTAGTTACCTGTAAATATGTTAAGAATGTACCCTCCTGTTATCTTTGGGGTCAATTTGACCTCATTCAATGTTTAACATCTCTAAATACGTCATTGACGTAATTTTTTCAGTTTTATTTAAAGGGCTATTTACACATAAACCTGGGTAACAATTTTAATTCTAATCATTTTTGGGGGTTTAAATTGCTGGGGTCAGACTGAACCCAAGGATAAAAGATGTCAGTAAATTTGAAGGTAATAGGAGGGTTAAAGCGATACAAAGAATACACTGTAACGACTTTATATCCAACAATGGAAACAACTTCAAATCTTGAATATCTAAGACTGTCAAAAACAATCTATTATATATATGAAACAAATGTCATGTAGATACATCTTCCTCCAATCTATCTGAGCGTAATAATAAAAAGGATTTGATTTGGTTGCAACAGGGGAACGATGAACAAAGGTCGTGTACTATATTACCTCAATATCGTGATATAAACATTTAACAGAGTCTCTAGATTCCAGTGATGAGCCACATACCCTGCTCCTTCATCTTGGGCAGCAGCTTGTCCAGCACCACCATCTTGCCGCTGTTCACCACCAGGTGGAGGTCAGTCGTGTAGGGGGGCCCAGGCTCGGCCCCGTCAAACAGGTACGGATGGTTGCAGCATTTCCTCAGCTGCATGAGAACGTTCAGCAGACGCATCTTGTCCATTTTACCCGCTGAGTTGAGAATGTCAATGTCCTTCATCAGGATCTTTGTGTACCTGATGATGGTGACACACAACAACTTAATTCCAGCATCCGGGATATTTCACGGTTAGGACTAAATTATAACAAGTAAAGCTTAGCTGAGGATGCTTACCACTCTCGCTGCATCTTGCTCAGACCCACATACATCTTGATCTCTTTTTTGGGCAGCAGAGTTTTTTCTACATCTGCTTTGATACGACGAAGCAAGAAAGGACGCAGCACCTGCACAAAAATGGATTAATGAGTGCTTTACCACAAATAAGAACAACACAGCTGAACATTTACAGAGGCTTGTTGGATATTGACATTATCAACATTAGGTACATACAGTGTGGAGACGTTCAACCAACTTCTGATCACCCAAGCAGTTGTTTGTATCAAACCAGGAATCAAAGTCCTATAAAAAACAAAAAAAATTAAAAACAGACATTAAATTAGT